CATTTGAATTAAGATGCATCACAGTAAAAAATGTTCTTTGATATCAGTTAAACAATTTACAAACGATAGTATCTCAACTTTGTTCAAGTGGATATATTTCACGATGTTTCAAGATAAAGCAAATATTTTTTGCAAACATCTGACAATTTTCGTGCAGATATATCTGAAAATGAAGAGATGCATTCCATTGTCAATTTTCTTTCTACTAATTACTGTGATACGAGTATCTCTAACGTGATCACGAAAAGTAAAATTTCATCACTAATTGTTTTATTTTTTTCTCTCACATCAAGAAAAATTACAACAAAACGAATAACAAATTTAAAAATCAATAGTAACAATCCAATTGAAAATCAAACTTGTGCTTGTTATTTTTTGCCAATAGCCGATCCAAAAGTGGTTAATATTGTCCAATAAGAGGATGTATGGCGAGAAAAAGATCTTCATACTGTGGGGAGTACACGTATTCGTGAAGTGATCTAACACTCACTCCAACCACTACACACATAGAAACAATCTAAGAAGTCACAAGGATAAAATAACCACTCTATTTTTCAACCGTGACGGAAGTCATTACACGTTTCATATGATTGTGAGAAGGAATTACTAAACAAAAAATCCGTTCTTTTTTTCTCAGAATCACATTGTGGTCGTTTATGGTACTACAAGATTTCTAGTTGGCTTTTCCATGCCCCGTTTGAGAAGCGAGCTAATTAGGCCTTACAACAAAGACATCAATTAAACAAGCAAACAACTGGGGTACCGTTAAAGCGGTAGACTGTAACATTCCCATATATTTTACTATTGTACTAAGCGGAAAACAAAGGGCTCTCTTCCTCTCTATATTTCTTCCATATATTTGTTAGATTGTATATTTTAACGTGATCCGATTGCAAACCGCAACATCCACATACAAGCAAAACCTAAAAAGGTATAACCCGGTTGCGAATCATCTTTTTATTTCGAAAGATTACTGTTGTATGCAAAGAGATAACTAAATACTCATGCATGAACTGAATACAGGAGAATGGAACAACGTATACTGTCGAGTGAAATTTTCTAATGTTTCGGTAGCAACACGCCGGCACTATTATGTGAATTAATTGCGTTTCCGGATTAATTTTGTTTCTAACCTATTGAAAAGGCAAAAGAAATTAGTTTTTTTCTTCAGATGACTATGAACAGAGTTTATGATGAAAGCAACAAAATAATATTTCAACCGACAGATGTTAAAACGGCTGCTATTACTGTCTCAACACTATTCTTGCAGAGTACTTGTCAATATGAAATATAGAGGTACCGCACCTGGTGTACCAGACAATTACAATTTGAACAGAAGGCGCTCGATCCACTGTTTATATGATGAACAACTCATATGCCAACCATGTTTTTGTATGGTTTTAAGCGTCAGTTTATCACAAGACGCGTTTTCTTAATCAATGTTATTCATCTTAAAACGTATTATCAAAACCCAAATATCAGTTGCTTGCATATTTTTCTTGATACATGAAGTAATATTAAATTAAATACAAGGTATGAATCAGTTATTCAACATATTATTATCAAAGTCGTAGTCTTTTTAACTGATTGATTAATCCGTGTTGCTAAGTCGAATCCCTATTTACTTCATTCACCACCACAAACGATTGAATCTGCATTGAATCTGAAAGCAAATGTAGAATGCAACATTTTTTGATTGATTGTTTAGTAATTCTGGGTACGTCAACAACTGAGGTCATTAGTCCCGTAAGTGTAATGGATGTCTTTGCTCGGGAGGTGGCTGTAAAGTTTCCCCCGCTGTATGGCGAGATCCGGCGCCGACATACCGTCGGCTATCAGGGTTTTCCCCAGCCTGGTATCTCCCCCAGCGGGGCACCATTCCTGCCGGAGCAATGTCTTAAATCCTGACGAGTCTCCCGGCATGTGTGATATTGTAGTGCCTGCAAGTGTGTAAGTGGCGAGGCCAGGACAAGGAAGAGGAAAGTGAGATGGCTTTCGATCCTTGGCCCGTTTGTTAGGGTACTGCTCCGGCATTCACCTGGTGTTGATCGCAGAAACCACGGAAAACTACCGATCGGAGCAGCCGGTCTCAAGAATTCCCCTCCAGACAGCGGCTGAACTCGACGTAGCTGACAAGCCAGTGTCGAAAATCGCGCAATCGCCGGGACTGGAACCTAGGACCTCCCGGTGAGAGGGACCGCTAGAATGGATCGGCGTCTGGAAGGAGGGTGCGAGGCGCCGCGAGTTATCGGAGATTCGTGATCGCGCGATCTTAGAAAGGCGGAGTGGAAGGAATTCCGCGCCCGCGGGGGAGGAACCGGTTGCCGCGCGTCGTTTCCTCCGCCTGCCGCGCAGGTGCATCTGCCACCGAGAGCAGCGCAGGTTGATTGGGGCGGTGCTCTGTCACAAACGATCGTTCTCAGAGATTTTTTTCTTCTTATTTATTTCTTTATTTACGTATTATTATTTATTTTTCTAACGCGTCAACTGCTATGGTCATTAGTCCCGTAAGGCCGGTGCAGGTTTTAATCATGGGAGGCGGCGGTGGTTTTCCGCCGCTAGATGGTGAGATCCAACCCAACCAACACGTCCGTTTGTGGTGTGCTATCCATTTATCTCCCACCAGCGGGGCACCGCTCAAGCCGCGACAAGCTCTAAGCTCCGGGCACGACCTATGTTGTAGTGCAGCGCTTGTAAGAATAAGAGTGTATAAGTAAGGGGAAAAGAAATGAAAAAGGAAGAGGACAAAAGAAAAGGAAAGACCGCGCGCGGTTTGTGTCCCGTTTGCCAGGTTACTGCTCCGGCATTCGCCAGGTGTAGATTGGAGAAACCACGCAAAACTACCGGTCAGAGCAGCCTGCCGCGAGAACACTCCTCCAAACAGTGTCTGTTTTAGACCTAGCTATGAAGTCAGTGTTGAAATCCTGCCTCCGTCGGGACTCAAACCCTAAGACAGAAGCATGGAAGTTATATTCGTTCATACCATGAACCACCTCAGCCAGGATATTATTTATTTATTTACCGTCAAAAAGCAGTTAAATGTGTATATTTAGGGAAAGTACAGTCTCCACTCGTTATCTTCACCTCGAGACTTCCTATCTCTATATTTTACTTATATAGATGACTAACGAAAAAACAAACCATACTATAAAATCATATAATTTACTAAGCGTTTGCATAATAATTTCGAAGCGTATGTGTTAATCGAAGTTTGTACGTCCTCCCATTTTCCAGATAAGAGATCACAGAGGCAGTTTGCCCTTGCGTTCACTGTGTGTAAAATGACAGGGTGATCGTGTGAGTGGTGCTCGCTAATGGTTTAATGATTACATTATAAGTTAGATTTTGAGGTCGGATACATAGTTGGATGAGATTGACTACCGTTCCACAAACACACGTTGAAAACATTCATGATTTATGCGGGACTCGAACCCATAGATATGAGAACGTTTCAATATTAAGACTCTGAGCGTTTCAGTTTGTAATTTTGCGTATATTTATTTTATGAAACAATGTTTAAAATATATTTATTAAACAAAATACATTTTTTCGTAATTTCATTTTAGTTATTGGACTAATCATTCCAAGTTCTAGATATTATCTATCGTCAAATATAAAATGTCCTACATTTTTACTACGAATTGAAAAGTAGTATTAATAATGTTATAGAAGACAGATCTACGTTAATTGAAAACCAAAACTTAACTATATACATGCGCAAAATTGTTTATTCACATCACTTTCTAAGAACCAGTACTAAATTTCGAAATAGAAAAGAATTGGATTGAATAAAATTTATTATTTTTTTTCAATAAATAAAGGAAACTTTTAGCTTATGTAATTATCATGACAAATTTAAATTGGTCAGGTAGAGTGACTTGACGACTTGACGTTGAATGACCCAAAAGAGAAAAATACTTGATCCAAAACTAGTCTTTGGAAAATTCGATTAGTTACATTTTTCAGCAAGAAGCATTCAAATCATCATGAAGTTTTATATGAGAATGCTTGCTTAAAATATTGTTATTCTTTAAAATTTTTTAGAAATAAACTAGTAAATAAAAGACCAGAAATGTGTAAATAAGAAGGGTTTTAAATCAAGTTCTTTATTCATTTGCATGAGTCAAGAGGTAATGTGTGAAAATTAACACATCACATACCAAGTACATTCCATAAATTTAAATAAATAATAAAAAATGCCAGCTCTATCATATTTCATGATAATTCAGATCCTTAAACATGCGAAACGAGTTATAAAATCCAGTGAATATATCGTATATCTTTCGTTAAACTCTCAAGATAAGAAAAACTTTAATTTGCCTGCAACATATTACCGTGATGCTCTTCTCTCGGAAACTCTATTCATACAGGTATTCAAAACTTTGTTCACGGTCATAAAATTTTCCTCGAACTTTGTATCACTTTTGTACGTAAGACCTTTGAATGAAGATTGCTTCTCTCATCTAGAAACAGATATACGAGTCTATTGTTCTCCCAATCAGGAACTTCCAAACTACATCGCATTATAAATTCTTTTCCGTGCATTAACCGTGCTGCTTGTCAAATGTAGCGAATTGCGTATTCTTTGCTAAACAAGTGTTCGCCACTCTCCTTAATAAACCGTAGAGCTTCATCGAAGGCAAAAAGTGGCTACTTCCATCTATTAATACTCGATCTGAAAATAAACCTTTTTTTGCGATCTGCAAAACGCGACAAATTAATTATTAAGAGCTTCGTATCGCTCTTTTTGTTTCGCTTCTCATGACTAATTATAATTCTTCGGTCACCTTGATGCAGGTTATTTACCGACCGACTCGAACACCATTTTACACACCTGTGTTATCGCCATCTGCAGCGCAATGAATCAGCTCGATAAATGGCCAGTTAAGGGGAGCCGAAATTAAAGCATAAGCCGCTCTAGTGCGGCGTCGCGGGCCGCGGCCATTTACAGTCGCCGGAATAAGCATGAGGTGCGGCCGGCGCCCCGCCCGTGACTCACCGGAGACAGTCGAGGAGCGGCACGGCGGCGGCGGCAACATACAATGGCTCCAAACGAGGTAGAGTAGAGAAACATCATAGCCCTGCAGACAATTAAAAACCCAAAATAAATTAATTAATTAATTAATATATCCGCATAATAACCACAATAACAGCAAATTCTACGAAATAATTGTTTAAAATTTAGAAATAATAGACTAGTGGCGCTAGAAAAGTACATACTTTCTCGCATTATTTCTGTTCCCTGTGTTATACAACTACATAAGCCTGCAAAAATGTTTTCAACCATCGATTTTTTTTCCGCTCCGAGACTCGAACTCAGATCCTGAGTTGACTCGCCATCAATACCACTATGCCAGAGAAGTGCCGTATAAATCCAACTTAAAAATGTTTAAAACGTAAATTTTCGGTTTCTGTTTACACCCTCCAAAAAAAACAAAATATTCGTTTAAACTCGCAAAGCTTCGAGTTCCCTCATAACGATCGAGGAATGTCAATTTTGGAGAATGTCGGCACAACGGTTTAGGCGTCAGCGTTGATCACAGACGGACAGACGTTTTGCTGTCAATGTATTTTTCAGTAGAAAGGACCCACAACACATGGATTCTGGCTACTCCACGTGCTAGAGGAGTTTTTCTGTATTTAGAAACTGGATTTATCCACTTCTTCGATTCTACCGCCCCGAAAGAAGAGATTTCCTACCGGAAATTTCCCGTTTTCCAGCGCACTATTACATAACTTTCTCTTTTTACAAAGTACCTTCGTAAGAGAAAGTAGTACAAACAAAAATAAAAATAAATAATAAATAAATAAATCACAAATAAAAGTCACGCAAAATTAAAAACGAAAGTCAAAAAAGAAATATTACCAGTTGATTCTGAAACTAGCTTGATTTTCATTCGGTTTCTATGAATACTATTTGTCTCCGATGGTAGTAAATGGTTTTGCCCCCAGTTTTGCTCTAAAAACGCGTGTTGAAGAAATATTATTGAAACGAAAATATTTTTAAGATGTTTTAATATAACTCATTGATTCTGTACAAGAGGGCTTGAAAATGAAAAATCAACCGATAAAAAGATCTTTCATATTATGAAGCAGACTGTAGCCGATACTCTTTGGTTTGCAATACTTCTAGTGCTGCAGTCAGATCAACTTTTTCGCCGAGGAGTAAATGAGCTTCTCCCCTAACAACGAATTAGTATCTTCTCTTCATGGTACGTTCATGTAAAATCAGCAAGATTTTTAGCGATTTCTTCTCACTCTCGACTTACATGGTTCCTCACATGGCCGATGCCTAAGTGCCTGAAGCCTTTAAAATCCTAATTTAATTCGGGGTGTAAGCGAGCCACCAAGAAACAAGCACGAGAAATAACATTTTTTGAAGAAATGTATGGTCATTAAGTAAAAAAACTGATAAGAATCCAACAATGTCAATTTTGAGGTTTTTGATCAAAAAATTTTCAGAAGAAAATAAATCAGTCTATGTAATAATAGAACTCCGGGCCCACGGGAACACCAATCCCCTTATCTCAATTGAAATACATATTTTGTATAAGCCCTCTATTTTAAACTTTGAAATTGTAATACTAATTTTGAACTTAGAAATCCACAAAAACATTAAAAATATTAAAAGCTAATTAAACTAATATTTTCGCGATTTTTTTCCTTTACATTTCATTCTAAACCACTGTTTGGAGGCAGCGCGAGAAAAGACTGAGTCACGTCGACTTGCGGTTTGCAAATTTCCCGCGGAGTTTTGTTTCTGTTCGTCAGGTGCGCGTGGCGAGCGCAGTTCTAACTTCTCTCCCAGAGCAACGCGCGCCTCCGACCGTGAAATCCCCCAAATCGCCGTAAAATTCGCTCTGAATTGATCTCAGAAACGAGCGAATGCGTTAAGGAACCGTGGCGTTCCTCCGGATGGAAAAAGCGGCGTCGCTTTGAGTTGACAATGGAAAGCGACCGCGTAAGTCACAGAGTCGTGTCTTAAGGATTGTCGGTCTGAAGAACTGGAAGCGATCTAGAGAGACATTCATTCACGTCTAGCTGAATACTCCTAACGTGTTTTACCGCACTGCAACATGCCATCGTAAGTTCTTTAGTGGACTTCTTACACAGCAATATTTATGGCCGTTTATGCCGTACAGTGCAGGTGGAGGGATTGTGAGGTCACCGGCCGGAAGGCAAGAAATTGGTAGAATGGTGATTGTACAATTTCTTTGTAATTCATTAATTTCATCAGTTAACTGATGATGATCAGTTACTGATGATCAGTCGTTCAAGAAATAAATGCATGCTAAATCTGTATTCACTTCACTTCGTAAGTAAAGTGTACATGTAAAATGCATATGTTCCACTGCACGAAAAGTGCGACGAGTCATGAGGCCAGGTAGACCAACAATACTTAACATATCATCTTTACAATACTCAAAGCAGACAATTGATTCTCAAGCAAAGCAGCAAGCAGTGCACCTCTCTAATCCCCAATAATGCAGTGGTAAATTTTATAATAAGAAAACAATTTTTCTGTGGTAAAAATCAATGAGTTTCAGCACAAAAGTGCCCATTTCGTAAGAAATTCACATAACAGTTTAATTTTATCATTTTTATGGGAATATCTGCACTACATTTTGAAATAGTCTACACTCGAATTGAACATAATCTAACGTAAGTTACTTCTTTTTTATTTTACATTAATGCGGAAGCAGCGAAAATACAATTTGTCTCAGAAACCTATCTGTCGTACATATGAAGAAGACTGTTTGGCTTTCGTATCTAATTTATCTATCTAAATAATAATTATCTCCTTTGTAAGTATTTTGAAGTTTGACAATAATTCTAGCAAGAATGATGAAGGAGAAATGAACAAAGTTCAAATTAAAAGGAAAAAAGAAAAATATACTACACTTAAAGAGCACTCACTGTACAAGGACGTGGTTCTCAGCCACCGATAAAACCTACGCGGTTGATGATACTAGATTAATGAACGTCGTTTACCCCTCGCCAACCACATCGCGTGCTCACTCAGCGTTGATGGCGTGGGCTGGTGGCATTTCCGCGAAAAGTCATTTTCACGTGTGCCAGGCCTCTATGGGTGGACGACGTTTAAACTTCGTAGGAAGATAAACAGGTTGCCCAACTCGGCAAAAACCAGAAAAACAGCTCGCTACTAAGAGGTACCATAAATTTGCTTCTTCTTCAATTTCATGCTATAGTAATCATAAAGATGCAGTTCCCTGATCCCAACTATTTAGCAAGTGGCCAGGAAAGGAAACGGTACGGAGACGCGAGTACGAGCGAGCAATGCTCTTGGCACTAACGTCTTCCGCAAGTGACTATTGTAAAACACAAAGGCACGCAACGCCAATTAGGGAGGACTTAATAGCAGCGCCACAGGGCACAACAACTACACTCGAATACGACTTAGTTGATCTGTAAGAAGCAAATTGTGCAGAACACTGCTGTGCACATGGGGAGAAATGGTTTGACCAGAGCAATTTCTAAGATTTTGCTGCCGTTTAGCTGATTAATGATTATTTTTGGCTGACGCTCAATTCTTACCTGACAGAACACTACAAATACAAACTTCCTTAGTTCAAAGCTACATGAAAGCGGTGTGGATCATGACCAAAGAAACACAACGTTATCCGATCGTTAGCGTTTGCCTATTTTCAATAAATTATGCATTATTCATCAAAACTGTAAGATATGGTATGAAAATCAAACCTTCATTAGTTTAATACCTTAAAGACTCAACACTGCAAACATTTTAGCAAGTAGTATATCAATTTTTCTCATCTGCGTACAGTAAAATTACTGTAAATGTAACCAACAAAATATTTCAGATATTGCAGACAAATATCCAATAATTTCGTTGATATTGGGGTTTAAAGTCGACGTTTAGGAGTCGAATTCCATTTTTTTAAATTTTCTACAATATTCCAATTCCTTTGTAGATAGGGATTATGCCACAATGCATCGTATGTGGCGATTCATTTGACACGTTCTTGTTAAGTAGTAATGTAATCTACAACACTCTTAATGGTCTTTTCAAACGTCGATAAGTAGATGTATTTAGTTGAGAATAGTAACTTTCTAAACAGAAAAAACCAATTATTAAAAATGACTACATAAATTTTCTTCCGTATATCCTTCAAATGCTTAGGAAATTAAAAAAAATAATTTCAGTGAAATATGTCACTTTTTCATAAAATATTTCTTCTGTAAACAAAGTGAAACATGTAATCAACGATGTCTAGAAATATGAGTCATTGCCTTAAAGGAAACTAAAAAGTTCTGTGAAATCCAGTTTTGTTTTACTGAAGAGCCGCGGAACATCGCAAGAACGCAAATCAGAAGTCAATTCCATCTTAGCGGCTAACTATGCAGCAGAGCCTCAAGAGTAGACTACAAAGAGCGTTTCTCGGCTACCACCTGTCGCTGCTTGAACTTCATTATTACCACAAATCTAGTTTAATAATGGGTAAATCACTGCGCGACAAGAAACTGTTTTCGCGAGTCTTTACAAACTCTGTAGCACAAGTCCAGTTAGCTAATCTTGAGCATGAGCACAATCTACCAAAAATTCCCCCGCGAGCTACTAGTAGATCGCGATTACTGCATTAGATCTACACAAAGCTGTAGTTCTGAAATTTTAATATTTTAACTTTCGGCATTGCGTAAAATGCGTAATAAATTAATGTAACCTCAATACTAATTTTTGAAATATAATTCAGAAACAAATTAGAAATTCAGACATAATAAATATAAACTTAAGCAGTTTCTAATAGTTCAAAGATAAATTACTTCTCATAATTTATTGAATACCTTCCCCACAATAGTGACATCATTTAGGACTTATCTTCCAAGATTATTTGATAAATAAATTAAAGATTACTATTCTAAAGAGCATTTGTAAAAGACGGTGAGCTTAAAGTTCAGTAACATATCAGTACATTACGATAACCTGTTGAGATCGATAAAGAGAAAAAACTGACACAATTGACGTTTGTAATCCGAGGCGTACCGAGTCGATGTGGGAAACAGCTTTCACATATGCAATATAGGCAACCCGCAACACAAATAATCCTAATGCACTTATAAGAAAGGAAAGCGAATGGCAGTTGTGTGGCTAACTTTAGCATTGAGTAGTAAAGTCTCTTACGTTCGATTCCATTCAATTTATTAATGTTGCCTGGCACGACAACTGCTTAGGTGATTAGTCCTGTAAATGTAGTGCACGTTTTCATCGTGGGAGGTGCCAGTGACATTCCCTAGCTGGGTGGTGAATCATGCACTGACCTACAAGCCTCCCAACAGCAGGAAATCGAGCCAGCTGGGAAAAGCTCTAAGCTCCCAAGTGGACTCACCACATGGTTGGTAGCGAAGTGCATGTATGAAAGTAAGAGGTGAGGATATGTCAAGGAAGAGGAAGGAAAGATCGCGTCCATTACTTAGGGTACTCCTACAGTATTCTTCAGGTGTTGATCAGTGAAACCACGGAAAACTACCGATCAGAGCAGCCGGCCGCCAGAATTCTCCTCCAGTCAGCGGCTGAACTCGACCTAGGTACCGAGCTAGTGTCGAAAATCCAGGCACCGTTGGAATTCAAACGCTAAGACCTCCCGATCAGAGGCACTGCGGTGAGATCGAGATGCCCCAAGGCGCCTAAGCCGATCTTCTTACATTCGAATAATTTGTCGTACTTGCAGGGGCGGAAGGATGAAGCTCTCCTCGTGCAGTCTACTATACAAACGGCTCAGATCTCTAGAGGAGACCTCTGAAGCAATCAACAAACTGGAGCGACAAACTCGAAGATGCTGTGTTCTTTCTTTTACATGTGAGATTAAACACTACTTCTTATAACATTTCATTAAAATTATAACTGACTTCATTTATCTAGTACCATATGTAAGATGAAATTAAACGCAATACGATGTATATAAAAATGTGTAAATAGGAAAGTTCACTTACTGTACCGTGACAACAAGAAATCCGCGGGGAGTGAACTCCGTAACATTACCTCTTTTTTGCTTAACGAAGTCGATTAATAAAAATATTGTAATTTTGTTTAAGTAAGTTTATAATAACATTTATTGGAATCATTTTTCACAATAATTTAGGTTTTACAATTTTCTGATAAGTAATCTACGATTATTGCTCTTCGTTTACTCAAGTGCGCTACTAATCCGTTTGAGAGACAAGTAAACTTCAGTCTTTAACATTACTCTTAAAGCATAATTAAGAACATATATAAAGGTCCAACTCGGACAGAAATTCCGTTTTCAAAAGCCGATTTTATCAATTTCAATTTATTCTAATATATCTTAGTAAAAAAGTTCTAAATATTAGTCACCCCATTCAGACATCGAAAACGGGTCTCCTTATTTATCCCTGGCAGTTTTGACCACTGAGCTATCGATAGCACCGATGTTTCACTCAGATTCATGGTACTGGGGCCCACAGTGAGATATTTGTATTCAACATTTTGACAAATCGAGAGCATTCGCGGGACTTGCTTCCGATTCTCGGTCAGGAAGTTTAACGCCTAGAACAATTTTTTCCCCCGAAATATAAACAGAACAGAAATCGCGAAGTATACAGGAACACAGGTAGAATATCAATTACCAACAATTCTCGACACAGTGGAATCACCACAAAGGCGAGAATATTGTGACAAGCGAATATTGAATCGTTCTGTTCACTGCTCTTTATATTTTCAAGTCCATTACCATTTATGTAATGAACCTTAACCCTAGCATGACGCAGCTAATTCAGTGAAAAAAGACCCGGCGCCCAATCGTCGGTGAGTTACCGATTTCCAAAGCCCGTTCTGCGCGGGAGGCGGCATTGAGATGTGCGGGGCGACGGCGGAGGGCGGCGTGCGGCGCGGGGGCAATTAGACCTTCACGACGCGGCGCGGCGCCCGCGGCCCTTCCTGGTGGGGCGTTCATGCGCGCGGGGCAGCCGAGCTGTTTTTGCCCCGCTCGGCCCCTAATGAGCGTGGTGGGCGAGTGGAGGTGTGAACGCCCGCGCACCTCCCGCCACGGAGGCCACGGGTCGCAGGGAATGAGGCCCGCGACGATTGGGGGGGGAATCGAGCCAGCAAACATCGAGAACATTGTTAGTATGAGGGAATAAGACGACTAAAGTGTTTAAACAACGGCAAAGAACATAGTTGCATAGAAAGGGGGGACGATTTGGGATATTATGAGAGAAGAAATATGGAAATAAAAGGAAGTTTGTTATTATTGTTATTATTATAATTATTATTATTATTGTTATTATTATTATTATTATAATTATTATTATTATTGTTATTATTATTATTATTATTATAATTATTATTATTAATATTAGCTTACGCCTCTGTTCATTTCTTTTCTAGACTGCAAATGAGATTGGACGTTTACTGCCTTCCTCTGAATGTGAGAGGGAAGGGTGATCACGAAGGATAAAGATGATAAATAATTAATAACAGGATGATAATACAGGGGACGCGGCGTCACCGTAAGGAGGCAACCGCCTATGAGTCACACGGAAACATCGATATTGACTACAAACACCATGAAAACAACCCTGCCTTATCAAGTCCAGAATCCGGAGATATTAGCTACGCGTATAGGCGTGATTAACGAAAGCCCTTGTGCCACTGAGACCCGATATGTTCATATACATTTCACGCGGAATGTTTGGGGTATGGCATACAGTCAAATAAGCAACAATATTCACATTTAATTGATGTTTTTGCAAGGAAAAGCGTCGAAGACCTATAAAGGTTGAAATTTTATGAAAGAGGAAGCTCACTCGTATGCCTTCAGAAAACGATTACCAATTAATAGTGAACAAGTGAATTATTCCATGAAGTTACAGCTGTTCAATAAACATTTTTCTATTTCTTAGTCAATAGAGTCACATTATTACGTTTGCTTAAACATTGAAAATCAGAAGTTTTTTTTCTAATGTCACCCTTTCTGAACGTACATTCCGAACTTCAAGATTCAAACTTATGTTCATGGTTAAGAAATCAAAGAAATGTTATAACGTACGAAAAACCAACCAAAAAGGAAATGGTGGAAGAAATTGCAAAGAAAATATAAAAAGTTGAACATATGCACTACATGTGAGAAGTTATAAAGCAACGCAGACAAAAACTATTTTTATTTAATTTACCAGATAGACGTAAATTGAAGCTTAACTACCTAGGAAATAATAAAAATATTCATTAATCGACCACTAACATACCGTTCATGGCATGTTCGTTTCCCTTTTAATTTTGTCTAATTTAGAAAATACATTAATTTCACCTTATTTATTCAATGAAAATATTTGGGAAGGGTCAATATCACAATATTTCGATTTATGACGTAATCGTGTTCCACGAGCGTGTATATTTCTTCCTCGAATTCGTGGATGTTAAGAATATATTTATCATCCGACTGCACATGCGTGACGTTTCGCACGGGGGAGGGGGGGCATTAGATGCCGACGTGGCCGTGCGAAACGGCAAGCGGTCACGTGCGCACACGACGCAACGGCGCCTTACGTGCGATCTCGCGAACACGGAAAGGCGATGCTTCGTAAGTCAGCAAACCAAAAGGTGATGTAGCGTGATGTCAGATGAGAAGGCAGTTGAATGGACAACCGGGTGGGGAGGGAAGGGGAAGACCGGAGAGTGAATACCATAAGGATGGTAGTTTTTGCTAAAAGAGGAATAAAAGTGATAAGAAACTTGACTAAGACGAATCCAATGTCACAAGGAAGAACAAGTTTAGACTAATGGGAAAAAATTTAGAAAAAGAATGATAAACGTAAAACACATGAATGACTAAAAAAGCTTTCATAGAAGCGTAATTTTCAGTACGAGATACAATATGAGGCATGTAAACAGAAAGTCTTATCAACTGCGAATGGAAAGCAACACAATTATTAATGTTTGAAAGTAGAATATAGGACCTTTATTGAAGATGAATTATGAGAGATATAATTTTTTAAAAACTTAAAAAAGAACAGACTGTCAAGCAGAATGTAATAGAAAGTGTATGAAAAGGAATAAGAGACTTTAAAGTCAGATTTAAAGTCTAATTTGCGTTCATCAGTTTTCTATTATCTACCGTTTCCGTCCCTTTCACCTCCCCCCACCCCAACGGAAAATTCCGTTCAATTGACCGAGACGCAGCTCATCCCGGATAGCCAAGAATGTGCATTCCTAATTTATTTCAGTTAAACACACGATGGTGCTTCTTTCAATATATGATTACGATTTGTAACATGCGTTATATTAGTTACTATATAGTATTCATTTTATTTCATTTAAGACAGAAGAATAGTAATACCTACTTCATTTTCTTCGCTTTCCATTGATTTACACGAGTCCACATCAACTGAAAATTACATTTATGTGACTTATTATTATTTCTCACTGATCCCTTCATACGAAGTTTCTCAAAAATAGACCAATGAAAATCAATATTGTGAAAAAAGGAACAAAGTAATCCGAAATCAAGACAACAAACGATTTACTAACGTCGAAGCAAACAGGAAACGCCCTGGTAAACGAAGATGACTAAAATTGGCGGGACGTCGAGGCAGCAAAAACGGGCGTGTCAGGGGTAGACTAAGCTGTGTGCGTGGTCACAGGACAAGCGACATCGAAAGGCGACAAATAAGCTCCAGTGGGGGGCTTATCCGGCAACAATCGTGCTGCACATGCTGAAACGGGACACAGGACCTTTTCGTACCCTAATCTTTAAGATGTAAATACGGCGTGCAATCACTCACTGTCATCTTCTGTATTTGAAAAAAAATTAATTACTTCCTTTTAAGACATAGAGTACCTACTACGTCAGATTTGCATTCAAGAACATTTTCGTACAAATGAAAGAACATCATACTGTATTATTTCTATATTATATTAAGAGCATGCAAGTAATTAGTAATGAATATGATTCATGAAGTAAAGAGACTACCTCAAAGTTAAGAAAACAAGAAATTCATGGCTTTTGCAGTTTTCCTTCAAGCAAAAACAGTACTTGTGTATTCTTAGTGGACTCTCAAAATCAGCAGCTGGAACTTTCGTGCAAAACTCCTTCCCGCAGCGAGAAGCACGGCTAGTATTTACTGAACCAGGCGCCAGCACGATATTAACATCGCAGACATGAGCCATGTACAAGCAGCCAATAAGTGCCTCGCCGTGCACACGCTCAGAGTGGAAGCCACAGCAAAACACGCCGTTTGGCACGCGAACGTCTTCTTGAGCCACCCCACCCCACCTCAGGTGCCTCGCGCCACACCACGTCGCCCCCTCCTCACGCCACAACGCTGCTCTGGGCCACCTCGCACCTTCAAATGCATCCACGGACTGAAGGAGAATTCCAGCAGCCGGTTGTTCTGATCTGTAGCTTTCCGTGGTTTCTCCGTTCAACACCAGGCGACAACTAATCAGTACCTCAATACACGGGCCACAGACAGCGCACGATCTTTTCCTTGTTTCCACTTCTCCCTTACACACACACACACACACACACACACACACACACACTGATACTTGCACTACATTATCACAACATGCCGGGAGACTAATCGAGAACCTAGAGCTTGTCCCGGCTGAGATGGTACACGGCTGGGGGAGGGACCAGGATGGGGTGGGGGGAGCAGGATGGTGTGAGATCAGGAAGGGGTGGAGCCCGACTGGGGTGGTTATCCGCTGGGGAGATAAACATGAAGGGAAAAAACCTCGTAAGCCGAAGTGATACACGTACACCTCCCTGGACATAACATGCACTACACTTACTAGACAATAAAATTACTTAAATAGTGGCCGTGCCCAAAATCAATACGTACATTTGTGGCTTTGAACAAATGTAATTTTCAGTTTATGTGGACCCATGTAAATCAGTGGATAGCGAAGAAAATCAAGTAGATATTACTATTCTCCTATCTTAAATGGAATGAAATGAATAATACAGAGTTTACTAATATAACGCATGTTACAAATCGTAATCGTACAATATTAAAAGCACCATCATCGTGTGTTTAACTGGAATAAATTAGGAATGTAACTTAAAAACCTCTGACTCCTTCATATGCAATTTCTATTATGTTCGTGTAGTTAGTATGTCATCTATTTAATTTTTTTTAATTTTTCACTGCCCATTGTTATGTATTACTTCATATTGTTTTCTCTTTTTTCCAATCTTTCCGTAGTTCCTCTTCGTGCCTTATTTTCCCGCACCCCAACGTGACGCCAACTCGCTGTTGCCACCGCATACGGGACGGCTCGATTCGATTCTGCGTCGGCCAACATGGCTTCGTATCTTCTCTTACGCGCCCCCTTACTTTGTCCGTTTTTTTTCTCATCGCACTGCGAAAAGGTTCTGACACTCCGCGCTGGCCTCCTGCCGCCCCTTGCACCCTGCCCGGTGGGTAAGTGAGCGAGGCGGTCGTCATGGCGTTATGAACTGGACATCGCGCAGACGAGAGGCTGAAATGGCGAAGCCCCCAAGAGGTGCATCGAGGCAACGAACGAGCCATCGGCCAGACGCCTCGGGGGACACGAACCGACCTCACAAGGACACCGACGCCTCTGCCATCGACGCCGATGGCGTCACCAACGCTGATGTCAATACTCGTCTTAGGATCTTGGAAACCAACATTCCTGCACACACGTTATATCTATACCCTTTTTTATAGCCGATGGCTTAAAAATGTAGTGCCTTTAAGTCGAGGAACCACTAATTATTTCAGGCGTATATTTTTACTTTATGATGAAATAAATTTACAAAATTGGAGAATTATCTGGTCTATCACTACATGGTGTTTTAATGTTCAAAAGAAATAAAACATACACAAAAATAAATATTTATACGAATTTAACAGTAAATACGCATTTATCTAATTATCTGAGCAATAGAATGTCGATAGACCAAAGATGGGAAATCGATTGAGATAAGGTTATATATAAACCCGGGTGGGCCAGAAGCCATGGCAACTGCTTTTTTTTCTAAAAGAAATGTTATTGGAACACACAATTTCATTTGTGACGCGAAAGAAATACTATTTTAATGTGTGTTCACAACAACAGATAGATATGTTAGTGTCTATTAGCATCGAGAGCAATGTGAAATCAGTTGTCGGACTACCGCCGTGCGAGATGAATGTAACCCGTTTCCAACTGCAGTTGTTTAAATTGGAGGATCACTACAGAGTATTGCCTGCCTTTCGTGACGCATTTACTATATAATATAGTTATATTTATTATTCACGAGAATAATATAGATTTTATGGTGGCGTCGCTACAATACTATTCTGCGCAAACAGTTATCTAAAAGTATTCGAAAAATGTGTGAATTATTGATGTGACAGTGAAACAGAAACACTGAGAACTACGTATATTCTAAAGTGGCTGATAACACTGGAGAATGGGAAGTGCTGGGAATGAAATTGGAACGTTTATATCACTGATATTCTAAGTTCCCTCTATCATAATCTCCGTTTCTAATTCCGAAGAAAATTATTAAACATCAAGCGATTTTGCAAATTAATACCCTCAATGAAACTATCCTTCAGTATGTTAGTATGTATAATGTATCTTTCTACCTAAACTGAATTCTTCACGAACTTCATCATTCTACGCGAAAAAGGAAGAAAGAAACCCACTCGCGACGTAAATAGAAGAGAATCTCATGGTACGCGCATTCCCTGAGAGTCTTCCGTCTTATAGTTTATTATCTCACAGTGCTTGAATCTGTCATCTTAATAGTCTCTCATAATTTTGGAACTGGCGTTTCTCTTGCTATGTTATATTTACGTGTTTACTGTGCAGAGAGATGCGTTTTTAAATGTACTCGTGCTGTTAAAAGATAAAGATTAGTTGTACGAGTACATGTCGACTTAAGAATCGTTTACAAATATCTACATCGTGACAGCCAAATCCAATTATGTTTCTCGAAGGCAATTTCTGAAGGAAAGAAATCTTGCTTTGAGTATATCATTTCATTGCATTTTCGTCTTGTCATCTCAGAAAAATAACAACGAATACATGAAATACAATAATTTGTCGAGTCCTGAGTCTCCAATAATATCATAAACAATAATCAGAGAAGAAATGAAAAAACATGAACCGAAGAAGCGTCAAGCTGTCTCGCAAAAGTAGCTACCGCTGACGTTTTTCGCCTCGAGACTTTATAAAGGACGGCCGCCTTCTGACCGCCGCAGCCGCTTTAGTGGCTGGAACGTAAAGGACGTTTGTCCGTCCGAATATGAATGCGGCAAAAGCCCTGAGAGTCGCCAGGCGCGTAGAGAAATGAGACAACTACGATGACTCGTATGCTATTTGTGTCCATAATTTCTATCAGGGGAATGAAAATTCGAAAAATATGACAATAAAGAGGGCTTTTCTACGCTAGTTTACTTTTTTATTAAGAAGGTTATATGTGTGAGAACACCTCATCTACTACTTAATGTGACTTAATGTTACTTAATGTGACCAGACATTCTTGGGTAGAAATCAAAAGGGGTTAGGAGTCATGAAAATGTTAGAGCACATTAATAAATGTATGATCATTTATTTAATCAGCAAAGAACTATGGAGTGAAATATCTTGAAAGTCACTAGCAAATCGCTTTTTGGGACGTTGAACTCGTCGAGGGTTATTATATATCCTGTTGTACAACAGATAATTAAAAACTTACTTTTCCGTGCCTAAATTTGCAAATTAAAATGTATTTTCAAACTTTTATAAAACTTTCTCGCTCATTTGCGAGATAATATGAAAACATCTACTTGATACTAATGTATATAATTGTATATAATATATGTAATATATAATATTGTATACAATATATAATATATAATGTTGTATATAATATAATTTGTTGATTATAGCTTACACGATACTATTCTTAATGACATATTCATTTAAATTTATTTTCCCTTTCATTGAAGAAAGTAATAGCGAAGGGGATAATTTTAAAGAGCGATATAGCTGCAAACTCCATAAAGTAAGATGCAATATACTTGAAGATTATTGAGGTAGCAACATCGTTTAGAGAGTATGAGAGCTCCAACACAAACATAAATAACTTACTGCTTCATACCAACGTAAGATCTATAAATAAACAGAACGCAAAAACAGTTTCAAAAGACTTCTTTTATGTCTCGACGCCTCATTCGTTTGTAAATTCAACAAAGACAAGAGACTCTACATTCAGGATGTTGTCAGCACTAGTAAAACGTGTTTAGTGTTGTAAAAATTATTCTCATCTAACTTACAATTTTCTTTAAATAAGTATAATAATTGAATAGGCGTGAGATAACAATAAGGCTCACTCGTGCAATTTTGAGAGTCGAGATAGCTCGCA